TCTTCACCCGTTAAGGAGCGTGGCCCTGGGTACCGCTCATGTGACGATGCCGGAAATCGGTGGGTGGAATTTTCTGCACCCGGGAGTAAATTGAAACAGATCTATTTATTGGGGAATCTAATCTGCCGACTGACGGGGGCGCTTGTTGCGTTTCGTGCGAGCACAGCGGGCACACCAGAGCGTGCTCGTGTGCCACCCCCGCGGTCGTCTCTGCTCGGGCCGCTGCTCCAGAGTAGACGGCCTTCATTGAGGCTTCTTGCCGCACCTTTTAAGGCGGCCTGACGCCTTGACACTGACGGCACCTAGCATGTAACTTGAAAGCCGCCTGAAGGCAATGAGCCGCCTTAATTTGAAGCGTCTCTCTAAACGCTGCCCCCTGGCTGGCATGGTGAGCATTAGCAGGCCTCATCCTTTATTTATACGGCAACATCTATCGTAGAGAAAACGACTGAATTATTAATGTTAAAACACAACTGGAGTGATGGGCCCGGCCCTTTAATTATGGGCAGGACTTCGTTGGGACGGCCATGTTCAAACGGAGAGGGGAGGTTCGCCTTTTCCCTTTCAAGTGTCAGTTTCCTTAGGTGTTCTAATAGGATGGCATTCGACGCGTGGCGGGAGCCGGTCATGTGACCGTTAATAGGAGGAGGAGCCTGTCGTCAGTGTGGCGGGATGGCAGGAATCCACCGGCGATCGCTCACGGATCCGTGCGATTGGATGTTGGGGGAGGGGGGCGCTTCAGGTTGCTGACAGGCATCCTTCAGCATGCCCCTCCCCCCGCGCCGCCGGCGTAATTGGTGCTGTCCGTGTCCGCAGAGCGAGGCACTCGCGTGTTTGTCAGCTTCTCCAGCCTGGCCGCTAATCTCTTTGTTCAGGACAGACAAATTACCTTCCTCACAGCGAGCTTCAGACCCCCCCCCCCCCCCCCCCCCCCCCCCCAAGAGGAAAGCCTGGCCCCATTCCTTTAATTAGCCGCAAAGTGGGGGGGGCTTTGCCGTTACTAATAGACCTCAACTCTCTCCGCAGTCTGAGGCAAGGGAGGAAGCAGGGGGGCGAATCCCGACACAAACCCTGCTGGGGGGGGCGCCTGTGGAGAGCGTTACCCGTTTGGGTGGGGGGGGGGGGGGTGGGAGTCGAGGATCAAGCGGCGTGTGGCCTTGTCGGGATCGAGTCCCGGTCGATCAGGAACGGCTCCTCAGACGCACGTGAAAGCGTTGGGGGCGGCGATGGCCGGCAGATGGCCACACGCTCATACCGCCGATAAATTACTCCGGGCTTAAGTGTAGCTGGCAGTAGATGATATCATCCCGACTTCATTAGATGCTGAAAATGGAAACTCAGCGGCTGGGGTGGGGGGGGGGGGGTGGGCTGGCCATTCCTGACAGCATGGCCTTGTCACAGAGCGGGGGCCGTTTGTGGTCCATTTGAACGGAGCCCTTTTCCGGGCCTCAGTGAGGAAGGGTGCCCCCCCCAACTACGCCCCTTAATGTTGCATTTTTAAATTTAGAGTTTTCATTTTCTTTTATTAATGAATTCTTCTCTCGCCCCACAGGTGTGTTAGGAGAGGAGGAGTTACCCCCCCCCCCCCCCCCAGCAGAGCATTTTCTGCCATCATCACCCTTGCAAGTGTCAGCATTCCCTGCAAACAATCCCCCCGCCCCCACCCATCCCCTGAAACACCTGCAACCATAATCCTTGTCACGGCATTCAAAACACGCTAACCCCCCGCCCACACGCCCCCTTCCCGCTTCTACACCTCCACGGATGGACCCCCCCGCCCCCCATGTGGGAAATGGCAAGCTCTACAGGCCTGGACTAGAGGGGAGGAAGTTCTGGAGGGATCAGAGTCAGGCAGAGAGACCCGGATGGAGCCAGGACTTTTCAGAGAGAGAAGACAAAAAATAAACACTAACCAAGCCTTTGAGGAAATAAAGGGAGCAGTGACGCTTTTTCCTTCTTCTTTCCAAGTCCACTCCTTTGTGAGACCCTGATACTCCTCCTTTCTATATTTTTAGTGTTGTAAAGGGAATTTGTCCCAATTTCGGGGATTAGAAATGACTTTTCGTGGAGATGGGGGTCATTAACACTTTGTGTATCTGTAAAATGCCATGTATGTATGTATGCATGTAAGTGGTTTTTTTGTCCCGACGTGGCTAAACTCTACCCCTCACGCAGAGCCCAGTTCCAAACCCACCGCCCCCCCCCCCCCCGCCACGAACTGCAGACCCCTCCAATCCGGCGGCAAAGCGAGCGGAAGCGGTCCGCAGCGCTAACGCACTCTTCATGTAGAGATTTTTCTCCAACCTATAATTGCTCAATGGAAAAAAAAAATAAATCTATTTGTGATATTTTCAGAGACATTTGCTCAAGTATGGTGTATTTAATTAATAAAAAGTTAAAAGAGATGAGGTCACCCTGCTGTTTTTCATGCAACCAACGATGCGCGTTCTTCTGTCGTATTACTTTGTTCCCCGTAAAAAATTCGTCGATGAAACATTTTTCCCCAAATCCTTCTTTCTATCGTGATACCTGCTCCGTCCCGTTAGCGGAGCGCGACCACTTTTCTCCCCTTTGAGTTAGATCTCTGAACGTCCTGCTCACCGATTATTAAATAGCTTGCTTACGTGACATGAGGTCTGGCCTCATCGCGTCCGGAGCGTCTTTCCTCGGGAATCGGTTCATTAGCTTTTCTGCCTTTTATCCCACCTAAACGACTCGCTCGGGCCCGTTCTGGAACCGGCTCGCGGGCCCTGCCGGCACTGATGTGTGTCTGAATGAGGTGGGCCTCGCCCCCCCCCCCCACGTCCTCAGGGATTATTAATCCTAATAAAAGGCCCATAATTGAAACCCAATAAATATAAAGATGCCATTTTTTCATTAACACATGTTACTCATCGGCCGACCGCCGCGTACAGACGGGAAAATTCCCTTTGAAGATTTAATTAGCGAGGGGAGAGCAGGCGGGCCTGGCTTGCTGCGAATGGATGGGCCATTTACAAAGCGAATTGGCACTGGGACGCGGCGCGCGGGGGCCATGCTGACGAGAGGCATTGGCACGTGTATCGCGTGGGGGGGGGGGGGGGGGTGCTTTTGCAAGACAGTCCCCTCTGCCATCTCTTAGGTGTTCCGGCAGGTTTCACGTGGTTCCGGTTTTAGGGAGTTCTGGGTCTTGATGTTTGCCACCACTCAAACCACATATTTGTGTGGGTCCCCCTGTTGGCCACAAACAGTTACTACACTACAAGGTAACCCTCAAAGTGACTTTTGGAGTGGCACCCCAGAAAGAGCAGACCCACCCCTGGGTCTTTGGAGTCCTATTGATCAGAGGTTAAAGGTAAAACCCTGGTCTGTTTGGCCAAAGGGCTGAAAGCTGAGGTCAGGTCACAGGTGAGGACAGGCCTTCGAACAGCCGCTGGGCTTGGTGCTGGCCGACGTGGGAAGAGTCTCTCACTCGCATGGCGTTTAGGTAATACAGGACACGGGCACATGAGGGACAGCCCTACCCGGGTCCTTCCGCTGTGCGGGATGTGGACTTGAAGTGCCAGGAATTCATTGACCTCACATAGCACTCGGTTATCCAATTTGTTTTTTTCTGCATAGTAATTAAATTTGGGCGTGTGCTGGAGGCTTGGTTGGTAACTTGGGCGGGGGAGGTGGGGTCTCAGTACATAGCCGCCCAATCAGTGTGGCTTTAAACAATCATGCCCCTCACTCAGTGCCAATCGCAGTAGGGATGAGTGTGGTCACGCCACCAGCCCAGTTCCTGGACGCGCCGCTGTGTGTGAACCTCAGCTTAGGCGACGTTAATGATCTGCTAAGTTTGCGTTTGTCGGAGAAAGAAATTGCTTTTTCCACCCTAAAGGTTGGTTATTAGCGCTGGCGGGGGGGTGGTGAGGGGGCAAAGTCAGACTGGCTTTTTCAGTTAATTTTCCCACTAGGAGCACAGTGGGTAAAAGGGGACAAGCCCCCCCCAGCCCCCCCAAGAGGGTGCTAAATTACGGGAGTGTGTGTGTAGGGGGGAGGGGCAATCTGACAGCGGCTGAATCAGTATGACACCCACGTATGTGACTGGGACTTTCATTCTTACGCATGACGTAACGGAAAAGGCCCGGCTATAAAATTGACGGCCATCTCGTTTAATCTAGGCATATTTACAGGGGCGATTCCAGGCGGGCACCTCGCTGGGACGCACTGTGCCGGGTCCTGCCGTGGAGCCTATCCCGACATCCATATGCAGCCCCAGGCCTTTCGCACAGTTATCGTTAAATAAAGTCAAGGTGAAGCACTTTCCGTGATAATTATGACACCATCCTCCAAACAGAGGGTACCAACATCACACTTGTTTGCTTGTAAGGACCCAGCCCGTGTTCAGCTCTGTTCTTCCTGCTAAATCTGTCCTCCGGAGTTGAGAGTGATGACGTCTCCGGCTAGTTTACTTTTGCGTCCGAGTGTTTCAGTCTGTTTTTAAATCGGGAGAGAATGGTGCAAGGCTCAGTCCCTTGAAAGCTAATGTGTTTCACACGTCCCGTTAACTATGTCCCTATCGGCAAAACCCCAAGCAAAGGTCCCCTCGACCTTTTAGCTGCCCGTCGATTCGCCTGGACACAAGTGGTGCCATGTGCTTTGTACCTGTTTGCTGGCGATGATCTCATATCCTGTTCCCGTAAACGTGATCCCAATTAACTATTGTAACACAGTCTATTAATCTGCAGCTATTTAATGGCAGGCCTCGGAATCCCGGCCTGCACTTCCAGACCTCTAAGATTACAGCTGTCATTCACGGCGGCGGTTTCCACATGCAAGGCCCCAGCCCACCTCTTTGATGTGCTGAACTGGGGGCAGGCTAATGGAAGGGGTCCATAACAATGGGCTGCACTTAATGCACACCCAGGCCGTAGAAACACACGCCACACAAAAGCGGTTTTTCTGCCATTTCTCGTGGGAGGGGGGCATATTTGCTTTCAGAAAACTTTTTTAGAAAAGTCATTTTGATTCCTCTGTCAATTTGACCAGGTCCTACAAAGCCAGATGTGAAAGGAGCAGGTCGTCGTCCTCGGTGGGAAGTCAAAACGCCGACATCGCCGCCTCAGAAGGCCCGCGTTGTTGTCGCCGAAGAGCGATGCCTGTAGCAGAGGGAAGATGTCAATGCTAACATATGAGTCACTTCTGTGGCCAGGGCTATCACTAACACTGAAAAACCCCCGTAAGTGGTGCAAACCGGTAGCCCATCTCCCAGCTGTTTGTGTTTTGATGGCGATGTTTATTTAGGTTACAGTTTTAAGGTGGCATGAGCAGACAAAGTGATAACCACCAAGGACACAGCCAGGCAGGGACGCATCGCTTACCACTACAGGTGGGGGGCGCCTCTTGTCGTTTCCGGGGACTGGGAAGGCTAACCTGGGACGTGAAATGCGCCGTAGTGTAGGCAGCTCTGTCCCAGTTCCCATTTCCTGAAGCACGATCCTCAGACGCAGAGTGGCTGCTAACAGAGGCCATCGCTGAAGCCGCCCGGCTGGAGGTTCAAGCAGAGAAAGGTTCTTGTCTCGAAGATTCCAGAGCACCGATAGGGGGAGGAGTCTTTTAGGTCACTTTGTAGGGGAGGAGTCTTTTAGGTCACTTTGTAGGGGAGGAGTCTTTTAGGTCACTTTGTAGGGGAGGAGTCTTTTAGGTCACTTTCTGTTTGTTTAGTTACAGCGAGTCACTCAGCCGTTATTCATCCATATTTATTTTATTATATCGAGTTTCACGGGTCAAGAAGCCAAATAAATAAAATGAATTAAGCTGCACAGCAAAGTTTTTGGATGAACTTGTGTGTTTTTTGTAACTTTCAAAGTCGTATTTTCCTCGGAGATGTAAAACACACATTGTTCCTGAGTGAAATACTTACTGCTGATAATTATCTTTTGGCTGTTTGGGGCAGAAAATGTCCCACTCGAAGCTTTTAAGTCAAGCAGAACGTGAAACAGGACAGAGGTAAGTACAGCCCTGGCCGCTGCAGGCGGTGTTTCCAGCGGTGACGTATAACCGCCAGTACTCTGCCGGCCGGCCCCAAGCGCCATTCTAGAACATTCCGCCGGCTTGACTGCAGCACGTTAGTCACAGATGCCTTTCCTAGCAATATTACATCTGCCCCCCCCCTTCGCCATTTCATGGAGCCTTCACGAACCCACCTACCCCTCTTCAAAAACGGCACCCTGTGTATGAGGCACCAGGTTATCGGATCCTTCGTACCCTCACGCTCCTCTGAGGGTCCCTGCTGTTGTACCCGCATGCGAGGGAACGCGCGAAAACCCTGAGGGCCGGCCGAGGAGCTGAACCCTAAGTGCAAATGATCAGGCTGCAGGTTTTATTGTCTCACGTGATCAGGGGCGCAGAGAAACATTTTTATGCCAGAGTTGTGGGGTGGGAGACAGGTGTGTGGGGGCTTTGCATCCACAGCAGTGCATTAAACACAAGGCAGTGCAGGCCAAGGGACCAAACCCTATATGGGATGGGCTTCTAAATTTACATTTTTTTTCCTAAAACCATTTAATCATCCTTCCATTTTCCAACCCGCTTATCCTTCTGTGTCGCAGGGAGCCTATCCCAGAAGCTACAGGCACGAGGCAGGGAACAACCCAGGACGGGGGCCAACCCATCGCAGGGCACATCCACACATGCACACCTATGGGCAGTTTAGTAACTCCAAATAGCCTCAGCATGTTTTTGGACTGTGGGGGGGGGGTGGGAAACCGGAGCACCAGGAGGAGACCCCACGACGTCACGGGGAGAACATGCAGACTCCACACCCATTGTGTGTGGCAACAGTGCTAACCACCATGTCGCCCCACCATTTAATCATTTGTCCCATATTTTTGCATATGTTTCATACTCCCTTAATTGTAGGGGACCTGGAGGGGAGGGGTGTGTGTCCCATATTTCTCCGGGGGGGCTGAACCCCCCCCAAGGGTCAAGGCAGTGCAATATAAGAATAAGTGACCCATGAGTAAGCAATAAATAGGATGTAATGAGGGGAAGGGGTGTGCAGGTAGGCACCTATGCAAATATATATCAGCACAGCGACACTGGCAGGACCCGAGCCGTCCTAGCAGAACGCCGGAGCACAAAGTGCTTGAATGCCTCCTCACGCGATGTGGCTAGCGGTAACACTGCTTTTTCTGGTCAATTTCCTTCCCACGGCTTGCCCCCCCCTCCCTCCCGCCGTAAAGAGGGAGCAGGGGCGGCTTGTTTCCAGCCGCCGTGTGAGGCGTCCGCTGGAGGCTGGAAGCGCTGCCTCGCCCGCTGGGAGCCGCCGTCACTTATTGGGGTGTTCAGTGACATACTGTGGGCCATGCAAATATTGGACAGGCAATTAGGGACAATCTTGTTTGCCCTAAAGAGCAAGGTAATACAATCCGGTCCATTATGTGTTCTGCGAACGCTAATGCAAGGCACCCTGGGAAGGGTATCTCTTTCCCCACTTTTTTAAGTTAAAAGGGTTGTTTTATGACGACGGGGTTTATTTCGCGGAGGGCTCTTTGGCATGTTAACGCAGCCGTGGGAGGCGTAAATGCACCCCACCCCCCCCCCCCAGAGTGGGACAAAAGCGTGCAGGCCGCCTCTCTCCGCCGGACCCGGCAGGGTGTTTGTGCAATTCTCATTTTCCCAAGGACAAAGTGAGGGGACCCCTCCCACCCCGTTGGTTTTTTTGCAACCCGACGCTCTCAAAATACCCCCCCCCCCCCGCAACTGCTCATGTCTGAGTGCCTCTACACAGAATGTTTGATTTCATTCCTGGCTGAAAAAGCAAAGTACCTGGAATTAACGAAAAAAAAAAAAAAAAGCCTGTCGATGGTCTCGCAAACCCCCCCCCCCCCCCCTCCGAGGCAGGGCAAGCATCACACTGAATTATCAGAGAAGGTACATTTGACAGTGATAATTAAATTAAGCTTTACTTGCCCTTTGTACATTGGCATGTGTGTGTTTGCATTTATTCCGCCTTGCTTTTCGTTATGAGACACACACACACACACACACACGAGGGGACAGAGAAGCTTAGAGTCCAAAGCAGAGGCTCAGCCATTTATCTTGGGGGGGTTCTAGGGTCTTGCTTGAGGGCCCAGTAGCGATATAACAATTCTGCTGGGCACCGGATTTGAACCACCGACCTTCTGATCTCAGGCAGAGACGCCTAACCTGCTGGATCACATACTTCCCCGTTTGTGTCGACAAGGCTGCCAAACCTCAATTTCAGACATCCTAGGTCGGCTCTCTCCTAAAATGCATCGGCAACCGTGGCCAAAACGCACAGGAGGCCTTCTCAGATTAGCGGTTCAAAAAGAAATCAGACCAACTTGTCTGCTTTAGAAACTATTTGGTCTGTTCGTCCTCAGTGTCTTCGTCCTCCTAGATTGACTTTATATTTTACTTCTTTTCCACGTGTCAGGGGTAGAGGTCTGCACACACCCCAAACCCCCTCAACCTCGTTTAGCCAGGTTGTGTTTAATTTGACCACCTTAAGAATGCATTAAGAATGCCCTTTAACGTCTTGCTAGAACCTTCTAAGTGCTCAGCTGAATTTGGCGTGAGGGCGGAAAGCTTTTGCTGCAGGACGGCGTCGCATTGAGTACACCCAGTCCAAATAATTGCAGCGGAAATGCATCTGCTGGTAATATGACCTAAAATTAAATGGAAAAATGAAAAGTGGTAAATTGATAGGCGCAGGAGAGAGTGTTCGACCAACATTTGCAGGAAATCGTACATCCCCCCCCAACCCACCCACCCTTTCTGATTTGCTGTTAATGATTACTAAAAGGGACAAACGAGGCGAGGCAGGCCGAGTCGAGTCAGGCCGGCCTGGGCCGTGACAGGCTGCTGGTGCCGCCACGCTTCCATCAGTCCGGCCTGGTCCAGACAGCGAGGAGGTGGGACCCAACTCCCGGTTCTGGAAAAAGCGTGACGGGAATATTCCAGAATGGACCGCCCACAGACCAGACAGCAGAGATGCTGGAGATGAGCCCCAGTAGATCCGCGATTCTGTGGTGCCCCAGTTACACTGCTCGCCCCCGTCCCACTCCTGCTACACCTTCTCACCGTTTCAGCAAGCAGTGATGAAAGTGGTTCGCATTAGCATTAGCGTTAGTGCCCACGAGGCCCAGACGGTGCCATAGCCGTCTCACACAGTGCCTGAATACTTTTAATCAGCTGATATGTGTGAACAGAGCATTGACCTTTGTTGGACATTAGGGGAGTTTAGCATCCAAATAACCCCAGGAAGTCTGGTGTCCCTTACGGAGTGATTTGTCAGCACCATTAGCAGCCCACATAGGGTCCGGCTCCAGGTCGGCTAGGTTCCGGCAAAATGAGGATGTAATTGGCGGGCATGACTGGTGTCGTCCTGCCCGGGTGGCGACAGCCTTGTTTATTCGGTAATGGTTAACTGCACGAGCTGGATGCCAACGGGGCAATCGGGCCGGATTGGAATTCTGTAGGAGGAGAGGACTGAACAGGGAACACACAGACAAGAAGAAAAGAAAACTCCGTATTAATCTGCTCTCGGGTCCCCTTCTCTCGCGTAACGTAACAGCTCTGAGGAATGGCGTCACTTTCTAATAGTTATTAATGATTTTTTTGGACCCTTTGAAGTTCCCACCATTAAAGAGCCGTAAATCACTGATGTCTGCAGTTACGGAGCTGGTGGGGGGGGCGGGGAGCTCTGCTTAAGCTCACCTGTCTGCCCCCCGCCCTCTCAGTCACTTACACATCTCCTCATATTCCAAACTTGACCCCCCCCCAGTATCGTGGTGAGCTGGTCCAGATGTCAGCCCTCGTCATGATCCATCGACGCTGCACCAATGAGTCTGTCCATGAGCGATATCTCTGCAGGAACATTCCTGCCATTATGGATTCCTCTGTGTGGTGGTCAATCTCAAGAACTTCAGCTTCTGCCGTCCCCTACATCTCAGCGTCCGTGTCTTTGCAAAAGCTCTCCTTTTCAGCATCTCTAGTTGCACAGCTGTCGATCACCTGGACATCATTAACATCTGGATAAAAGTGCTGCTTTATAAATAAAAAAGTGACATACATTTTCAAGAAATCAGGATCCCTGCAGTCATTAGGGATTAAGGGTCTTGCTCAAGAGCCCCATGATGAAATCACTTGGCTGACCCTGGGACTTGAACCAGTGACGTTCCGATTACAGGCACAGCATCTGAACCTACTGAACCACATCATCAGGATGAGATACCTGGTGGTCAGCCTGCCTCAGTAATTAAACATG